CAACTTGACGTAAACATCAACAACTCTCCCTTATGCTTGGCATGGTGCTGGCCAATATGGGATCTTAATGGAAATCCCCGACACCTCCAGCTGAAATGGTATCTGCCCTCAAGCTGGAAAGGTTATATTTCTCTAGATTTGGCCAACAGAAGACAAAATAAGGCCCCCCTTCCTTAGGTTAATAATGTCTCTGTAATAATTTTTTTGTTATATTTTTTATCTCTTTCCCTTTACATTTAATTTTGTTTTGTTTCTTATTCCATTAGTCTGGCTGAGATTTATTTATTTATTGATTGATTGATTGATTGATTGATTGATTGATTGATTGATTGATTGATGCTGTATAATTGCTGTATTGTTTGCTAGTGTTTTGGTGCAATAATGGTTTCATTTCTCTGGGTACCGGCACATGTGGGTGTAGATGGGAATGAGGAAGCTGATATGCTAGCAAAAAAAGCTTTAAATAATGAGCAAATAGAAATTAAATTAGCATTAAGTAAAACAGAATTTAAAAGAATGATTGCAGTCGAAATATATAAAAAATGGCAACAGGTGTGGAACAAGGAGACCAAAGGAAGACATTCATATCAGATTCAGGAATTTGTAGGAAACGGGAGGAAAAGATACGGATATCGAAGGAAAGATGTCATCATAACAAGACTAAGGATAGGCCATACGTCATTAAATTACAGCTTGTATAAAATAGGAAAGCATGAATCAGGGAAGTGTGATAATTGTGGAGAGTTGGAAACAGTCAATCATATAATTTTAGAATGCCCAGCTTATGAAAGAGAGAGGTTTAATTTAATACAAGAATTAGGACAGCTGGAAGATAAGGTAATTTCTTTGAAAGTATTGCTAGGAAACGGGCTTAGACAATCAAAAATTCATGAGATATTAATTAAATATTTGGGAAATATAGGAATAATGCATAGAATTTAGTTTTTTATATATATATATATATATATATATACAATTTAATATAGTCATTTAATGTATATATAAGTGTTTTCTTTCTACCCCATGTACAATCCACACTCCAGATCAGTAGGTGGCGGTAATGCACCTATTTTTGTTGGTTTGCCAAACCGCCATAAAACACCAGAAGAAGAAGAAGAAGAAGTGTTTTGGTGCATGTTCTACACTCTCAGAAAAAAATGGTACAATGTTGTACAAAAGAAGATACAAACCCTGTCACTGAGGCAGTACCATTTTATGAAACAGAATTGTACCTTAAGACAAAGAAACAAATTTGTACCATTGCAGTTTTTACCTTTAGGGACATGATTTGTACCACTGGAAAACAAATGTACTTTTGTTTTTTAAAACCTGCAGATATAAGTTGTTCCTTCATCAAAGGTACAAATCTGATCCATGAAGGTACCACTACAGTGACAAGACACTTTATACCTTAACAGTGTCAAATGTGTTCCTTCAAGAACTATTCAAAGGCATTATGTTGTATCCAAAATGCATCCATTTATTTTCAGTAAAAAAAAAAACATCACATACATTTATAAAAAATGTTTTTAAAAAGTTATTTTTTGAGTAATTGCAGCTTTCATTTACAACAAAGAGTAAAAAATACTTAAACATAAATCAAAAGATTTGTTTTTGCTAAAGATTTCACACTTTTCACAAAATTTTTACAGAAACACATTCCCCTATCTACAATATAAAACATTGTTTTTTCCAGTTTTCACACACCTCTGTAATCACTTAAAAGCTCCTTTAATTTACTTAATTTTAAAATAGAAATAGAATTATTCAAAACTATTGTAAGGATATATGCACAATGTTTACTACAATAGTAAAATGTCTGCATGAACATTTTGCATATGCAGGACTTTTGCCAGCTCACGTGTGTAGTGGAAAGCAAACGCCAAAAGGAGCAGATATCAATAATAAAACTGTATTTATCAAAAAATGCTTATTAAATGTTTAACAAAAATACCTAAAATGTTTAGTTTACAACACCTAGAGTTTTTTTTTTTTACATTTTTTTATTATAGAACGTAATAATTAATGTTTATGAGTTTCTTTAAACATATGCTTTAGTATGGAAATTAATCATAAAATCACTTTGCCTTTCCAGCCATATTTATTTTTTATAGATATTGTAATAACGGAGTTGTCCAACACTAATGTACCTTTTTATGAAACCAATTATGTACCTTAATTTAAATTTTACCATAAAAGGTACGGAACAGTATTATAAGGTCCTTTCTGTACCATACAAAAGTACAAAACAGTTCCTTAAGAAACATTATTTGTACCACCGTGTGATTTTTCTCTGAGTGCGGAGTTAGTATCAGGTAATAACACAGAAATAATTTTGTTAACATATATGTACACTATTGGGTGTTATGTTTTCCAATAATTTCTGGATGCAGCCTTAATGATGCAAGCTGAGATTGTATCACTCAGCGATGCAATGTCAGACTCAATGCACTCAATGGAGGTAGTGGCGTCACTGTGATGGGTAGGGTTAGGGGTGGGGTTAGGTAAGCCAATTAAAAAGTATTGGATGCCGCTCAGATTGCACTGCACCAAGTCTGCATCCAGACCCTCTCGTGTTTTCACTAAAACGTCTATAAATAAAGTAAAAAAGAAAAAAAAAAGAAAAAAAAGAAAGAAAGAAAGAAAGCCAACTGGCCAAGCCGGGACTTGAATCAGCAACCTTCTTGCTGTAAGGCGACAGTTCTTACCACTGAGCCACCGTGCCGCCCCTCTGTAAATTTATTTTATAAATATTTTAAAAAGTGTCTTTAATATTTCAAATAGGTATTGTGAAAATAAAATGTCAAAACAATGCTAACACTTCTGAGCTGACTTATAAAATAATAAGTAATCATACTCAGTTTTATTATTCATTCATTCACTCATTTTCTTTTCGGCTTAGTCCCTTAATAAACAGGGGTCGCCACTGCAGAATGAACCGCCAACTTATCCAGCATATGTTCTTACGAAGCGGATGCCCTTCCAGCTGCAACCCATCCCTGGGAAACATCCATACACTCATTCACACACATACACTATGGACAATTTAGCTTACCCAATTCACCTGTACCGCATGTCTATCAACTTGAGGGGGAAACCGGAGCACCCACAGGAAACCCACGCCAACACGGGGAGAATATGCAAACTCCACACAGAAATGCCAACTGACCCAGTCGAGACTAAACCAGCGACCTTCTTGCTGTGAGGCGATTTAAATTTTGTAGGTTGTAATTTATTTTTGCAATATTTTGCTTGAATTTAAATGTATTATTTTTTCAATTTCTAAATATGTTCTGTGACTAAAATATTACAGCACTACTTTGTTGCTTTTCTTCTTTAATAATTCTTGAAATAAGAACTTTAAATAGTAATGAAAAACACTATAAAATGTTTTGCACCTTAGAGTGACGTTTCTTTAATTTCCTGCATGTCCGTCGTGGTTCTCCTCTGTGAAGTGATTGGCATTAGTGCTAGTGTGCACCATAGACCAGTGTGCACATGTGCTGTGCTGTGCAAAACAGTCAAGCTGAAGATCCAGCTGCTGATGCAGGACTGCTCATGTGCAGCTTTCTGCCAACCAGAGAAAGGACTGCATGGGTGTGTATCAGATTACAGGAAGCTCAAACACATCAAAAACACACACACACACACCCTCTACACAGACTCAGCTGAGAACAGACCAAGACAAACACCTCTATCTGTAAGTAGTTACCTTTGTATCTGCTATGCTGTATTTACTTCATCTGTGTGCAGAAATCTCTCCTTTACGCTGAACCGCGAGTCAGCAAACGGCTAAACTAGCAACAAACAACACTTATGACATCAGTTAGACACTTTCTATGAAATGCCCAGCGTTCAAATGTAAGGAAACAAGAAACGCTGCGGCTTTATATATCAGCTTTATCCGTTCTTTCATATTGCGTTGCTGGCGGTCAGTGTCCTGGAATGAATCCGTGGCTCTGCTGCAGGATCCAGGAAGTGTAATCGATACACGAAACAAGTCGTTTTCATTTCTTTCCCTTTCTCTTCTTTATTTTCATTAACACATGCTATTTCTAATTTGTTTTATCTACTTTGTCTCTCTGAATAGAAGAATAGTCATCTCTCAAATACAAGGAAATGCCTGGAAACCTTATAAAAAATCCTAATGGAGATGGTGAGTCATTTCTTCTTTAATGACCATGTTTTGATTTACTTTCCCTTCAGCAATGATGCAATAATCACGGTATCTTGTATCAGTGTACAAGGGTATCAGTGTCTTGCATTTCAAAAAAGTAAAATTTAGGCTCTTTAAAAGTCTTAAATCTACTGAAATATTGTGTTGTATGCCTCAAATCTTTTTTTAACATGTATTAATTTCCTTTTGTTTATGTATATCTACCCAATCTAGCCAAAACCCATACAATCACAAGTGCCAGACAGAATCTGCAAACATTTCTTGCTATTTCTGCACATAATTTTGGGGAAAAAATCTGCGAATTTATGCTGAATGATTTTGGGAGTATCGTAGCTAAAAACTTAACATATAAAACAAAAAATATGTTTTTAACGTATTTAATTAAACAAATAACTTTATTTAATGTTTACAATGCAAATCCATTTAGATCCACTTATTTGGTAAACAAAGCAAGTCTTTTATGTAATATATCTACTAAAAAACAGAAAATATTACTTTACGAACTGACATTTTCATATTGGTCAATAATATTACTGAAATTAATTTAATAACTAAATAAATAAACATTTCCTTAAGTAAATAAATAAACTCCATGATTAGCAAAAACTCTGCGGAAATCTGTGGATTTAACCTTTAACTTTTGTTATTTAAAAAATAGTTTTTTACTTTATTTGCTGTAATGGTTTATTTTCTTGCCCTGTATTTTTATTATTAAATTATTGGTATTATTGTATTATTAAATTTATTTAATTATAGTCATTTCATTATTATATACAGTTGAATTCAGAATTATTAGCCCCCCTAAATTATTATCCCTTCTATTTCTTTTTCCCCCAATTACAGTTTAACAGAGAGAAGATTTTTCACAACACATTTCTAAACACAATAGTTTTAATAACTCATCTCTAATAACTGATTTATTTGATCTTTGTCATGATGACAGCACATAATATTTCACTACATATTTTTCAAGACACTTCTATACAGCTTAAAGTGACATTTAAAGGCTTATATAATTTTGACTTCAACTGTATATGGCCCTAGGTTGACTCCATATGTATGCCTTTTCAATTGTAAGTCGAAAGTGGACAAAAGCATCTGTTAAATGACCAAATGTAAATGTGGAATATCTGATATGTTGTCCTGTGGTATTTTCCCCAGAGGGTCTGGAGCACTGGGATCTCACAGAAAATGGAGGTAATCAATGGAGGGTGGAGGACATGCCGGGCGACTGTGGATATGCTCACAATGACGAATTCATCACCAAATACTTCTGCACCTCTTTTCAGTAAGACTTTTGAGAATGAATTATAGTTGCAAACATTATGTTGGACATTTTTTTGTGCAAGGTAAAAAGTTTTTACACTTTACAATGAGGTTGTATTAGTTAGTATTAGCTATTTGCATGAATAAAGTACAAAGATGATGCTGCTGCTGTTTTTATTTAGCAAATTACATACTGTGGTCTAAGTTTTGTATTATTCAGTCACAAGATGGTGCCAAACAGAAAAAGTTCGGGTTAGTAAATATATTAACAACACCAAAAAAAAAAGTATTGTAAATTGTGACCAGAGTATTCATGTCTCTCCCATTTGTGTGTTTGTTCATCTCATTTGTCGCTGTGTTTCAGTGTGTATTTCTGTCCACTGATTTAGGCTGTGTAAAAAAAGGCAAGTGATTGACTTGTTGGCGGAGGGTTACGAGCCTGACAATTTAGATATTGCACAGCCAGCTGTTACTGTGGAGGACTGGTAAGTCTTGATGGCATGAACATAAAGGCACAAGTTTTGTCCTATCATGATATGGGGTTAATTTATTATGAATGTGTGTGTGTGTGTGTGTAGGTACAGTGGCCGAACAGACTGTGGATGCATATATGAGCTCACTGTTTCTTTGCTGGATGAAAGCCATGAGGTCATTACTGAATTTAAGCCAGATGAAGTGACCCTCGACCCAGACGATGGCGACTGCTCATGGAGAAATGTAGGAATCTTCAGTTTACATAACTCGTCTAATAAAAAGCAATAATTTAAAGCATTAAATAGAGAGATTGGGAAAATGTATTATATGCAAAGTATAAGTCATTTCAGTCACTTAAATGCATTTAATTTACAAGTGATATAGACTCACTGGCCACTTTATTAGGTACACCCGGTGGGAGTGGGAATAACCACGATACGGTATTATCACGATACTGGTCACAATACAGTGTTATGGAAATTATATATACAGTTGAAGTCAGAATTATTAGCCCCTCTTTGATTTTTATTTATTTATTTTATTCTATTTTTTAAATATTTCCCGAATGATGTTTAACAGAGCAAGGAAATTTTCACAGTTTGTCTGATAATATTTTTTCTTCTGGAGAAAGTCTTATTTGTTTTATTTTGACTGGAATAAAAGCAGTTTTTAATTTTTTAAACACCATTTTAGGACAAAATTATTAGCCCCTTTAAGCTGTATCTTTTCTCGACAGTCTACAGAACAAACCCTCGTTATACAATAACTTGCCTAATTACCCTAACCTGCCTAGTTAACCTAATTAACCTAGTTAAGTCTTTAAATGTCACTTTAAGATGTATAAAAGTGTCTAGATAAATATTATTTACTGTCATCATGGCAAAGATAAAATAAATCAGTTATTAGAAATGAGTTATTAAAACTATTGTGTTTAGAAATGTGTTGAGAAAAATCTTCTCTCCATTAAACAGAAATTGGGGGAAAAAAAATAAACGGGGTTAATAATTCAGGGGGGCTAATAATTCTGACTTTCTGTATCGCACGACTAGCAGTGAAATATGGCTGTATATCATCACTGGTGAGAGGTGTGTGTTGGCTTGAGCCTGCCGGACGAGTGCCTAAAGCCTCCTTTTCACTCACACACAACAAACAACAAGCGACAGACCGGAAGTCCTTCATTTACAATGGAGAGTACTCCGGGAGCTGCGTTCCGATCATCTCCGTATGCCAAAAAGTTGGGATCCGATTTGAGCTGCGGATCCGTTGAAATATTTAGACTCCTGCGACTAGACCGTATGTGACCGGCCAACTGGATGTGATGTATTTCAGTGTTGTCCAAGCAGGTCCGTGTGTGCGATATGAGGAAAAAGTGTTTTTTTTTTTTTATTTATTTTTTTATTTTAATCAGAAAAAAAGTCTATTTAAAAAAAACATTTCTATTCCTAAAAATGTTTTTTTTTTTTTTAACGTTGTCTCCACATTCTATCCAAAATATTTAGAGGTCTAATTTCTAGTATTATTAATTAATTAATTAATTAATTCATTCATTCATTCATTCATTCATTCATTCATTCATTCAACCATGGTGAACGCACAAAGAATAAAGGCTCTTGCTTTTGCACTCCTTTATTTCAGACACTGCGAGAACAGCTTCTCTCCCGTGGTGTACAACAAAACTGAAAATTCTGTGCGACTGCCACAAGGGGGCATATTCAGATATTTGTGTCCAAATGTCATGTGCAGTGGAAAGGCGGCTTTAGAGTCCACCTGTTACGATATAAAGCCATATCTCAATTCTACAAGTGTGATATTGCGTTTATACAACAGTTTGACGGCATAATCATGTATATAAAAAAGAAAATCAATCACGAAGAGTCTCAAAAATTCTTTTGTACGAGGAACTATTTTCTTCCGCCGTTCATTCACATCTGCAGCTGACGTCAGAACAGCAGAGACCGTTGCTACTTCACAAACGTCACTTTAGAGCTAGTGTTTGAATGATTCTCTAGCATAATGTCTAAAGTGATGACAAAACCGCTGATTTTGCTCACATAAGGCTGAACAGCATAAAATGCCATCAGTCTACAGAGATTCTGTATTTCTTTGTTGCAACGGGGAGATCACAATAATTAATCCCCAAAAAGCTAAAGCAAACATTAGCATTACTATGGTATAAATACAGCACTTAAACATACAAACGAGAGAGATCGACTTAGAATGTCACTTACCTGTTCTGTAATGATTTGTTCAGCTGTAGAAAACGCTGTTTTGACTTATGCGGTTTCTGTTGCAATCTTGTGGCAGAACAGTGACCGTCTTTGCTCTGCTTAATGACAGACTGATGGCTGCTGACGCACCGAAACTCCGAAATGATATTTAAAAATGGGCATTCTCCTTATAAATACACTGCATAGTTGCAATCTAACCAACTATATTTTCACCTAAAAAAAGCTTCAAGTACATGATGTTGTCCAACAGCTGCAATATTTGTCAAACTGTAGTGAGTTTATTGATCTGCTGTTACTCCATGTGGGCGGAGTAATACACAACGGTGAAGAGGCTGTACGAAGGATGTTATCACAGAACATCGCACTGCTATCAGCCAATCAGATTAAAGAACCAGACAGAGCTGTTGTGTGCGTGCGTGCGTGCGTGCGTGCGTGTGTGCGTGCGTGTGTGCGTGCGTGCGTGCGTACGTGCATGCGTGCGGGCGTGCGTGCGGGCGGGCGGGCGTGCGTGCGGGCGGGCGTGCGTGCGGGTGGGCGTGTGTGTCCGTGTCCTCAAAGGAAAACGTCTCTTTTAACGAAAAAGAAACAGGTTTAATTTTTTTAATTTTTTTTTTTTATTGCTGCAGTGCAAAAAATGTGATTTTTCACGTGAAGAAGCTGACCAAAACTTTAATGAAAACCTCCAATATATGCTATATGCACATTTCCATGATGCTGCCATCTATATTTAGCAAATTACATACTGTGTTCTCAGTTTTGTATAAACCTAAAAGTTATTGTAATGTCATTGGTATGCTGTTGTAGATTTGTTAACATTTATTTATTTTGATTTAATTTTTATTTTAAATGAGTCTTGATTTTTGTATTTACTTTTTTAGTAATATAGTTAATAATACTGGACTTTTTTGTTTGTTTTTTGTGTGCATCAAGCTAAACCTAATGTAAAGTCTACATATTTCCTTAGCAGCTAGCAGAAATAGTTTTTCTTTAAACTTTTGTTTTAGGTAACAGATTAATTAATTAAATGGATTTTAATTTATGATTTAAGTTTACGACAACCCTGATGGAAGCATATTTATTTCTCACTTATTCTGCAGGTGAGCCACACATTCACTGATTACGGTCCGGGTCTTCGCTTCATCTCTTTTGAACATGGTGGGCAGGACACAAAGTACTGGCAAGGCTGGTTTGGTGTGAGAGTAACCGGGAGCTCTGTTACCGTAGACGTCTAAGATGGACCAAACTACAATTCAAATTATACAACATATACAATTCAAGTGAAGACCACTAGAAAAAAATAGGTTGCAACTTGCTTTTAGTTTTGCACATTCTGTACCCAAGTGTCATTAAAAATGTTCCGCTTAATATTAAACATGTAATGCTAACCAATTAAAAGAATCGTCTGATAAGATTAAAATATATTGTACTTTACTTTTTTTGAGAGATTTCTTTATGTCTGCTCTGCCACTAACTACCTCTATAGGCTGCTGCAAAGCTATACACCAAACTTCATTAATGCTGCACTTTCAATGAAGTTTATATGCAATCATTTCTTAATTAGCAATCCACTAATGTGATATGAAATACAAATAGGTCTATGTCATTCTAATGATAATAAACCAATAATAAAAGATGAACTGCTTTGGACTCGATCAAATAAAGTCAGAAACTAACACTGCATTTAAATTTGTTTGTGTTTTTAAATGGTATCAAAACGAAAAGCATCAAATGGACTTTTTTTATCTGTTCACAGCCATTCAATACCTTGGACACACATTTTCAGACGTTCTGCTTCTGTGCCATGAGACCATCCCTGCTGAGCATAAAACTAAATGCATATTTGAACTGCCACTTCAAAGTTCAGGATAGGGATGAGTTTCCCTGTTTGTTTTTTAGAAGTATAGCTGCATGTATTTCCAAACTTAATGACTTTGTGGAATAACACAATTATAAAACTCCAATGGTGTATATACAGTTGAAGTCAGAATTATTAGCCCCCTTTTGAATTTTTTTTTTCTTCTTTTTTTTTTTTTATATTTCCCAAATGATGTTTGACAGAGCAAGGAAATTTTCACACTATGTCTGATAATATTTTTTGTTCTGGAAAAAGTCTTATTTGTTTTATTTTGGCTAGAATAAAAACAGTTTTGATTTTTTTTAAAACCATTTTTGGGACAAAATTATTAGCCCCTTTAAGCTATTTTTTTTTCAATAGTCTACAGAACAAACCATCGTTATAGAATAACTTGCCTAATTACATTAACCTGCCTAGTTCACCTTATTAACCTAGTTAAGCCTTTAAATATCACTTTAAGCTGTATAGAAGTGTCTTAAAAATATCTAGTAAAACATTACTGTCATCATGGCAAAGATAAAATAAATCGGTTATTAGAAATAGGTTTTTTAAAACTATTATGGTTAGAAATTTGCTGAAACAATCTTCCCTCCATTAAACAGAAATTGGGAAAAAAAATATACAGGGCCGCTAATAGTTCTGACTTCAACTGTATATACAGTGCTTCCGGAAAGCATTCATAGCGCTTCACTTTTTTATGTCACAGCCTTATTCCAAAATAGAATAAATTCATTTATTTCCTCATAATTCTGCAAACAATACCCCATAATGACAATGTGAAAAAAAGATTTTTTGAAATTGTTGCAAATTTATTAAAAATTAAAAACCTAAAAAATCCCATGTGCATCAGTATTCACAGCCTTTGCTCAACACTTTGTTAATGTACCTTTGGCAGCGATTACAGCCTCAAGTCTTTTTAAATATGATGCCACAAGCTTGTCACACCTGTTGCTGACCTGTTGTCACCTGTTGCCAACACACAGTGTTGCCCATTCCTCTTTGCAGTACTTCATATGCTCTATTAGGTTGGATGGGAAGCAACGGTGTACAGCCATTTTCTGATCTCTCCAGAGATGTTCAATAGGATTGTGGTCTGGGATCTGACTGGGCCACTCAAGGACATTCACCGAGTTGTTGTGAAGCCACTCCATTGATATTTTGGCTGGTGCTTTGGGTCATTGTCCTACTAGAAGATGAACCGTCGCCCCAGTCCAAGGTCTCGAGCACTCTGAAGCAGGTTTTTATTCAGGATGTCTCTGTACATCGCTGCATTCATCTTTCCCTCTATCCTGACTAGTCTTCCAGTTCCTGCTGCTGAAAAACATCCCCACAGCATGATGCTGCCGCCACCATGCTTCACTGTAGGGATGGTATTAGCCTGGTGATGAGCGGTGCCTGGTTTTCTCCAAACGTAACGCCTGGCAATCACTCCAAAGAGTTCAATTTTAGTCTCATCAGCCCAGAGAATTTGGTTTCTTATGGTCTGAGAGTCCTTCAGATGCCTTTTGGCAAATTCCAGGCGGGGAGTGGCTTCCGTCTGGCCACTCTACCATACAGGCCTAATTGGTGGATTGCTGCACAGATGATTGCCCTTCTGTAAGGTTCTGCTCTCTCCACAAAAGAACGCTGGAGCTCTTCATGCTTGGTTTGTGCTTTGACATGCACTGTCATCCCTGGGACCCTATATAGACAGGTGTATGCCTTTTTAAATTATGTCCAATCAATTTACCACAGGTGAACTCCAGTGAAGCTGCTGAAACATCTCAAGAATGATCAGTGGAAACAGAATGTACCTGAGCTCAATTTAGAGCTGAGAATACTTCTGTACATGTGATTTTACAGGTTTTTCATTTTTCATATTTTTTCACATCGTCATTATGGGTTATTGTGTCTAGATTTGTGAGGAAATAAAATGAATTTAATCTATTTTTGAATAAGGCTGTAACATAAAAAAGTAGAAAAAGTGAAGTGCTATCAATACTTTCCGGATGCACTGTATATAATGGATATGTAAAATGAATGTATAATGGAATACTATATAACTGAAGAGGTTATATACATTGTCTTACATTTTGAGGTAAAGATAACATTCTAGGAATGATCCAGACAGGAAGCCTAGATGTGAGAGACACTAACCTTTCTGGTGTCTAACCATGGAATAGTAATACAAATGCTTTTTGTAAAGTTTTTGTAAAAGTTTGAGACACGCTTTTGCCTTCTGTCTCCATAAAAGTCTGGACGATACTCTAAGGCTGATTAGATCAGGGTGAGTAAAACTTCTAAACAGGACTTTCAAATATCCACTTCATTTACATTCTTTGCTAAAGTTGTCACACCTGTTTATTTGTTTTCACCTAAAACCACTGCCTCCCTAAAATGTAATTAAAAGCTGCATTCCAGTCCACTTTTAGACACGCACTCGCAAACTTTCTTCACTTGTTTCCTGAGGTAAATCCTCGCCGACATTTTGAAGTGTGTTCCACTTCATAAAGTGAATAAGGGAAGCTTACATGGACAAACCTTTGATTTTGACAGAGGGAGCGAGTCTGATTCATATGTCCACTCCAGCACCTATATGTCCCAGAATGCATCACAATAGTGTAGTTCCCAAAAGTTCAAGGGCTTGGGGTATAGGTCTCAAACTAGATTCCTGGATGGCTGCAGCTCTGCAGTTTTGCTCCAACCCTAATCAAACATGGCTGATCCAATTAATCAAGAGCTGCGTCCCAAATGGCACACTATACACTCATGCACTATGTACTTACACACACAACTGAATAGTATATGTATGTAGTGTTGTCCCAAATGGCACACTAATGTGTTTTAACTAAGCGGAAATTCAAACCATTTCCTAATGACGTTTGACGGTTGCCAAATCAGTGAAATAAACGACCAAATTTTCAAATAATACCTGCCGTGAGTATAACCGCACTCACCATCAGGAGGCGCTATAATCACTCTCATAGGAGAATTTTGCTTTCACCATCCAAAATAAATAAAGTTATCCAACACGTGCGCCCGATAGCTCAGCCCATTCCGCTACGTTAGCAAACCTGCGGTCGTTGAGTGCGTGAAGTGTCCATCATTACACACTTCATTTTAGCGGCTGAATGAGTGCATCATCCGGGTAATGCATCATCCATAAAGTGCACTTATTATTTTTTTGAGTTTTCAGTGTGAACACACTACTTACACTATTTATACTACAAACTGGCGTAGAAAAGTGCATAAGTATGCGATTTGGAACGTAGCTAAGATGTTCAAGACTACTAAGCAGCTGAGTTGGAGCTGGTTAAAGCTAAACTGTGCAGAGCTGTGGCCCTCCAGGAATTCAGTTTGACACCACTGGTTTAGGGCGGAGCTGGGTGGCTGGTGTCCTGCAAAGTTAAGTTCCAACACCAATCAGACACACCTGGGCTAGCTAATCAAGCTCTTACTCATAGATATATACACTAGATATCGCATAGGGACCCTGAGCATGCGTCAATAGCGCCGCCAGATTGGTACAGTGCTCCCAGGACAAATGTCATTCAACCGCACTAGTCAACACAGTGTTATTACGTGAAGATGCAGGACTTTAGCGCTGTCTACGGGTGTAGTAACGGGCAAACAAAGAAAACAAAGCACAAAGGCAGAACATTCCATAGGTAATATTAAGTTTTTTTCTGTTTTTGTATGTTCTGAACTTTTGTGCTAATCAGGTCACGTTATTGATGATGACAGTCACTTACTGCATTCACCATAAGGCAAAGCAGCTCCAACTTGCACTAAACACTCGGCTTATGCTAGTTTTGTTGAATAAAATCAGCAAACAATGCAAAAGAAATATGACAACGAGATGCTGCGCTGCCAGAAGCTTGTATTATTGTCGGCTAACGTTAGTGAAAGAGTCATTCGGAGGGATTCATTCACAAACGAATCTTTCCCTCCGTCAGTATGAGAAGTGAAAGCAGGAGAGGAGCTGTGTTTCAGGACATGATTAGATCAAATTTAACAGGGAGGGTGAAGAGTACATTTCTGTACACACAAACACAAGCTTTTTGTCAGGAATGTCCGTGCGGTCACTGATCCATCAATGTAGAAAAGTGATGTAAAATTATAATTTTCGTAATTAGAAAAAAAAATACACACTAACATCAAGGAAAACTCCCGATCATAGATATATGTGTATATGTGTTTATCTCTGGCTTTGGATGGCCACAGTCCTCCACTGTACCTTGGTCCCGCATTCATTTCAAAGGAGCGCTACACTGTAGCAAGATGGCGGCGCTATTGACGCATTCCGTATAAATAGACAACAATAGGCCAGGCGACATCTAATGTATATATCTATGGCTCTTACTAGGCTTCCTAGAAATATCCGTGCAGGTGTGTTGAGACAAGTTGGAGCTAAAATCTGCAGGAGACGGCCCTCCAGGACTGAGTTTGGGCACCCCTGGTGTAGGGCACTCCATTTCAGACTATTCATATGCTCCGCCAGTAATGGACACATATGAGATGTAATCAATGATCAGAGGGAAAGAGATAGAGGGAGGTTAGCAATTGAAGGGCATACATAACTGAACTGGAATGCAGCCAAAATACTGTTAAACTACACTAATTAGATTTCTCTTATGGAATGTTCACACTAGAAGCGTGAACATTTTGAGTTTACTAGCTTCATTCGCGTGTCAACTTCATTTCACAACAGATGCAGATTCACGTCATGGGAGGGGCTTCTGTCTGCCTGGTGACTTCGGTTTCTTTGCTAATGGCTAACGTAGATGTCTGCCAAATTTCAGATTTTGTAACTTTCATCGATTCACGTGGTAAATGCACAAAATGC